GATAAGGGAAAAAAGAGCCAAGGTCCCCTCCCCTGGGGCTACAAATGGGTCAATTCCCTGCTCCAGGAACCTAAGGAGGCAAACCACAGAGTGGCTGAATCTACCCCAGAGATCCTGCAGCCTCTTCTCCCCTGGGTCTGCATTTCCAGTCCAGGCAAAGTAGGGGAACTGGTACCCACGAGACTGACTCAGGAGGATTTTTCCAACTGGATTTTTCCACACTCACCTTTTCATCCTCGGGAATGGGGATCTTGCTGTCAAAGTAGGTGGTAAAAGGCTCCTCTGAGGGGGTGTCAGGTGGCTGCAGGGGATTGGAGCTGCTGGAAATGGTGTTGACTCCCTCTCCAAGACCCCCGGGGGCATCTTCTGCCGGGGAGGGGGGGGGGAAACAGTAAAAAGGGGAAGGAGGAGTGAGGGAGAGTCCCTGGAACAGGCAAATCAGAAACCCCAGGCAGAGCACAGTATGGTCCTGGCCTCACAGCTCATGCTAATGAGGCTATTAAAAGATAATTAAATTAAGAGAACACTGCTGTGAATCCCTCCAGGCTGCCTCGCCTGATTGTTCCCAGCTTCATTATGCAGATTAATTACCAAAAAGCCATCACGGGGTAGGGGCACTTTGATTCCCAAAGGGATTCACTGGAGCTGAAGAAACCCAGGAGAAACTTGGGGCTGTTTCTGCACTTTTAAAGAGATTTTGACCCCAAAATTCTCCTGGCTGAGAAGATGAGTCCTGGAAGGTGGAATCTTGGTCATGGAACCATGGAATGGTTTGGGCTGGAGGCACTTTGAAAACCATCTCATTCCAACCCCCCTGCCATGAGCAGGAACCCCTCTCACCAGCCCAGGCTGCTCCAAGCCCCATCCAACACTGCCAGGGATGGGGCAGCCACAGTTTGCCTGGCCCAGGCTCTCCCCATCCTCCCAGCCAAGAAATTTCCTCCTCATGTCCAACCTCCATCTCCCCACTGCCAGTTTCAAGCCCTTCCCCCTCATCCCATCCCTCCTGCCCTTGGCCCAAGTCCCTCTCCAGCTTTCCTGGAGCTCCTTCAGCCACTGGAGTCTTCTCCTCTCCAGGCTGAACAACTTGTTCCACTGTCCCACCACCCTCCCAGAGGTCCCATCCCAGGACACAACACTTCTTTGGAAGCAAGTTCAGAATAGTAAACCACCTGATAACTTTTCCTTCTCCCAGAGGGGGAGACATGGGTGGGAGGTGAGTTCCCAGGACAATTTCTAAATCCCATTCCAGAGGAAGGTGCCCAGGATTCCTCCAGCCAGGAAAACACACATTCCCACAGATAACATGTCAGAACTTGTCAATGGCACCTCATCGCCCCCTCCAAAGCCCCTTTCCCCCCAGCCCATACTCACTCCTGCTCTCCCTACATGGCATTTTCCTCCAGGGAGCAGCGTGTGTACCGAGGGAGCTGTGTGCAGGGACAGGCTCGTCCCAGGGCCAGCTCTTTTACCAAGTTTCCTATTGCATCATCAGAGCCAACCCAACGTGGTGGCTCCTCCTCTTTTTTTTTTCCCCCCCTCCCTCCCAAACACCGTTTACATAAAGGACTGGGAGCAGGTGAGAGTTGGGGCTGCACCAGAGTCGTTCATCTTGTTAGATGAGTGCCCTGGGAGCTGGAAATCTCCTGCTGGGCACATCTCCAAGGGGTTTGGTGTTCTCTGTGGTGACCAAGAGGGTAGTGAAGCGGCACGAGAGTTATCATCATAGAATCATGGAATGGTTTGGGTTGGAAGGGACCTTCAAGATGATCTAGATGCAACCAGTGCATGGGCAGGGACACCTCCCACTAGCCCAGGTTGCTCCAAGCTCCATCCAACCTGCCCTTCAACACTTCCAGGGATGGGGCAGCCACAACTTCTCTGTCATAGGGTCTTCCCACCCTCTCAGCCAAGAATTTCCTCCCCATGTCCCACCTCAATCTCCCCAATTCCAGTTTCAAGCCATCCCACAAGTCCTCGGGGTGGGGTTGGCAAGAGAAAGGTGTTGGAGGGAAAGGTGGGAGCAGCCCCCCTTACCGTAGGATGCCCTGCGATCCGTGTCCCAGTTGCCCATAGTGGGTCCCTTCCCTGGGGACTGGTTTAAACTGGCCACATTGGCTGGAAAACGAGAGGAAGGGAAAATGTGTCAAGAAGAAAAACCAACAGGAGGGAAAATCGACCAACCCCCAGTCCAGAGAGGAACAGAGTCACTTCCCCAGCTTCACCTCCACAGGGATGGAGGGGGTGAGTTTTGTCTAGAATGGGAATGGCAGTCCAGGATTGGACTGTTTTGTCTGGAATTGTGGTGGTTTTTTTCCCAGAATTGGGATTGTTTTGCGTGGCACTGGAAGCTTGTGCCCAGGACTGTGATGATTTTTTCCCATGATGGGACTGTTTTGCCCAGAATTGGGGATTGTTTTGCCCAGAATTGTGGTGGTTTTTTTTCCTAGGACTGGGATTGTTTTGCTCAGGACTGGGACTGTTTTGTCTAGGATTGTGGGTTTTTTCCCAGGATTGGGAATGTTTTGCTGAGGATTGGATTGTTTTTTCCAGGACGGAATATTTTGCCCAGAATTGTGATTGTTTTGCCCAGGATTGTGGTGTTTTTTCCCAGTATTGGGATTGTTTTGCCTGGGATTGGATTCTTTTGCGCAGGATCAGACTGTTTTGCCCAGGATCTGTTTGAAACCTCCTCCTGCAACCCCACCAAGGAGGGACAAGTGGTCAGATGGGGCAAACCAAGAGGACAGGAGTGTTTGCAAGCCAAACCTGTTGTGAAACACCAGTTTAAGGAAACAAAGAGTGGAATTTCCTTCATGTCCAAACCCCACATACCATCCCTCCCCTTCCAGGCACCATTATTAGCTTCAGACCACACCCTGTTTCAGGCCACCTCGTTTCTTTTCAGGACACAACTCTTTCCCCACAGGATTTTTCAGCCTAATCCACACAGAAAGGGACTGAAAAATTCCCCATGGAGCTCCTGGTCGATCCCTGAAAAGAAACTTGATAAAGTCAAACACCTCAAGGACAAGCCAAACACTAGCAGGACAGATCTTTGGTATGTCAAGCACTTAATCTCCCTCTAAACCTGTTGTGTATTAACAGGGGATTTCCTTCTAACGAGGCAATATTGGCTCAGGGAGGATACAAAAAGAAAACCTTACCTAGCAATTCATTTGAAACCAATTTTGGATTTTCAAAAATTAATTCTCCCCACTCCAAAGGTGGTTTGGAAGCAAAATAATAAGGCCAAAATAATCCAGAGAAGGTTTCTTTCCTTGTAGGCTGGGCTATGATTTTATTAACCTCTCCAAATATATTAAAGATTTTTAAGTGGTGGCTCTAGGGCAAGAGGAGGAACACAGGAACAAGTCCAGGTGGGGCTGGGATTTCTCCAGAGAAGGAGAATCCACCACCTCTCTGGGCAGCCTGGCCCAGGGCTCTGCCACCCTCACAGCAACAGGTTCCTGCTCATGCTCAGCTGGAACCTCCCGTGCTCCAGGTTATCCCATTGCCCCTTGTCCCTGGGCACTGCTGAGAAGAGCCTGGTCCCACCCTCCTGACCCCCTGGAGGTCCCGAGGAGACCCCCCCTCATTCTGCTCCTCTGCAGCTGAACTGCCCCAGGTCCCTCAGCCTTTCCTCACCACAGGGATGTTCTTACCCCCTCCCCATCTCCCTGGCTCTTTGCTGTCCCCTCCCCAGCAGCTCCTTGTCCTTCCTGACCTGGGCAGCCCAGACCTGGGCCCAGTTCTCCATAGATGCCCCCCCAGGGCAGAGCAGAGGGGCAGGAGAACCTCCCTGACCTGCTGCCCACACTCTTCCTGATGCCCCCCAGGAGCCCATGGGCCTCCTTGGCCACCAGGACCCGTTGCTGCCTCATGGTCACCCTGTTGGCCACCAGGACCCCCAGGTCCTTGTCCCAGAGCTGCTCTCCAGCAGGTCCCCCCACCCTGTGCTGCTCCCTGGGCTTGTTCCTCCCCAGCTGCAGGACCCCATGGACCATCTTGGTGGTCCTTTGCTATCCAATCTCCAGCAGCTCCCTGTCCTTGAACTGGGCAGTCCATAATTGGACCCAGTACAACAATAACACCAAACTCTGAGATAATGTTGACTGTTCCCCCAAAACCTAATTTCTTTGGGACAAACCACGCTCACAAGTACCACAAAGCTCTCACTCCATTCATCAGGGGAGGAGGAAGAAGATCAGGAGGCAAAAATTCGTTATAGAATGATAGTGACCTAATTATCTCCTTGCAAAACGTGTCCCAACCTGGGCGGGAGCAACAGTGGTTCCTCTATCTCCACCAGCAGCTGCTGAGCTCCTGACACACTTATCCTGACCCAACACAGGGAACCAACACTGGCCCACACTGGCCAAAGCTCAACCACACTTGCCCATGGATTCTTCTCCCACAGGGCTCCAAGAAAAGCAGCCACTGGGGATGTGAAGATTGCTGAAGATTTAGCTTTGGAGTGTCCAGCCTGGAGAGGAGAAAGCTCGAGGGAGACCTTGGAGTACCTTCCAGTGCCTGAAGGGGCTCCAGGAAAGCTGGGGAGGGACTTGGGCCAAGGGCAGGAGGGATGGGATGAGGGGGAAAGGCTTAAAACTGGAAGTGGGGAGATGGAGGTTGGAGATGGGGAGGAACTTGTTGGCTGGGAGGGTGGGGAGAGCCTGGGCCAGGGAAGCTGTGGCTGCCCCATCCCTGGCAGTGTTGAAGGGCAGGTTGGATGGGGCTTGGAGCAGCCTGGGCTGGTGGGAGGTGTCCCTGCCCATGCAGGGGTTGGATCTAGATGATCTTTAAGGTTTCTCTAACCCAAACCATTCCATTATTCCATTATGTTATTTCACCCATGGGGAGCCTCAGGATCTGCTCAGAGAAAAACCACCCCGATTTTGCCAGTTCTGCCTCCACCCCTGGGGCTTTTCTCTCCAGTGACCCCCTGGCACTTCTCTGGAGCATGTGAAATTAGAGGATAAAGATCATGCAGGATAAAAAAAGGTTGGGATTTATCCCTTCTTCTGCCCATAACCTCTGGGAATATCCTCAAGCAATTCCTCCAGGCCAGGAAGGACTGGTAGGGCCACCTCTATCTCTGGGAGGAAAAACACTCCCTGGAACCAGCGCTGGGATTGACTCTATGCACTCCCACCCCATCCTCACAGCCAGGCAGGGCAGCCCCCATCCCAGGGGGAATATTCCTTGGAATGAGGCAGGAAAGCCGTGAGCAGGATATCACGAGGTTACTCTAAGCAAAACAGCAAAGACATCGGTGCTGCTGACCAGACCCAGGGAGGGGACAATGGAGCATTGTCACCTCCCTGTCACCGAGGAGGCACTGAGCCTGGGCCACAGCGGGGGACAGTGGGGGGAGCACGGACAGTGAGGCTGAGCTGCTGCCCCTCGGCCCAGCCCTGCCCCCTTGCCGGGAGCAGTTCCTGCCATTGATCCCAGCCCTTGATCCCACTGCTCCTCCTACCACCGCCAGTGCTTTTCCTCACTTTCAGGTCTCGTGATTTTATTCATCCCCCGGGAAGGGCCAGGAACAGTCACCCCAAAACCCAACCTCGTTCCTGCCAGCCCACGTTACACAAGTCCCAGAGGACAACACCCCCAGAGCCCCGGAGCAGATGCTGTCCCAGCAGGGCCACCTCCTGCCACATATCCAGGTCACCCCTCTCCTGACACCCACTCTGCTCTCCTGGCTCCAGCAGGTCCTGGCACTGGAGAAGCTTTTTCCACCATCCTGACCTGGCTCTTTCCCCATGGAATCCCTCCCTCAACAGCGACAGGAGCGGAGGTGACAAGGCTATGACACTGGCTGTGCTCCAAGGCCCCCATGCAGGTCACCTGGGTGGTTCCCAAATGAATCAGGCAAGCTCATTCCCTGCCAAGTGTCCATCCAGGGTCACCAGCTCGCTCTGTGGAGCTGGGACATTAAAGACCATCTAGATCCAAGCCCTGAATGGGCAGGGACACCTCCCACCAGCCCAGGTTGCTCCAAGCCCCAGCCAACCTGCCCTTCAACCCCCCCAGGGATGGGGCAGCCACAGCTTCCCTGGCCCAGGCTCTCCCCACCCTCCCAGCCAACAAGTTCCTCCTCAGCTCCAACCTCCAGCTCCCCACTGCCAGTTTCAAGCCCTTCCCCCTCAGCCCATCCCTCCTGCCCTTGTCCCAAGTCCCTCCCCAGCTTTCCTGAAGCCCCTTCAGGCACTGGAAGGTGCTCTCAGGTCTCCCTGGAGCCTTTTCCTCTCCAGGCTGGACACCCCAACTCTCCCAGCCTGGCTCCAGAGCTGCTCCAGCCCTCCCAGCATCTCCGGGGCCTCCTCTGGCCTCTCTCCAACAGCTCCATGTCCTCCCTGCATTGGAGGCTCCAGAACTGGCCCCAGTTCTCCAGGGGGTCCCAGCAGAGCAGAGCAGAGGGGACAATCCCCTCCCTGGCCCTGCTGGTCACACTCCTGGTGACACAGCCCAGGACACAGGGGGGGGTTTCTGGGCTCCAGCGCTGGCCCATATGGAGCTCCTCCTCCACCACCACCCCAGCTCCTTCTCCTCAGGGCTGCTCTCCAGCTATTCACCACCCATTCAATCCACTCAGCACTTCTCTATGGAAGGAAAACCACAATCTGGGAAACCTGGGAGCAGGGAGCTCTCCACCCCACCCTACTCCATCCAGAAGCTCCCGGATCCAGGATGCTGCTCTCCATTGTTTGAAACCAGGGAAAGGGGGGGCTTGTCCCCACCCCTGGAGCCTTCCAGGACTTTCACCACATGGAATAAATGAAATGGGTGGAAAAGCCGGATCCAAATGAAATGGGAGGAAAAGCTGGATCCAACCAGCAGCCGCAAGGCTCTGGGATGAAAAATGTCCTCAAAAAACAAGGTGGCGTCTGAGAGGAGGGCAACTTCGGGCTAAGAAATGCTGAAGTGGGGAAAAAGAGACAAGCAGTGAGGCTGAACTGTTGGATCACGCCCGGGGTCACCATATGGCCCCGGTACCGCTCGCCTTGTCCCACACAGAGCCAGCAGGGCCAGGAGCCACGGGCACCGGCAGAACCAGGGAAAAAAATGGGATGCCCTGGGGGTGGTCTCATCCCAAACCCACGGGGAGAGGATAAGGATGGGGGGCAACCGACCTCCCCCTGCCAGAGGAGCCCCTGCCACACAGCAGCTGTTCTGGGTGTGAGGAACACCCATCCTGGGAGACCCCTGAGGGCCAGGGGACACTCCAAGGCCATCGAGCACCCAGGAAGTCCTGGAATCTCAGGGGTCCCTGAGTCCTGGCAATGGAGGGGGGGGGGGAAGGAGTGGGCAGTTCCCCAGGGTGCTGGGGGCCAGTGGCAAACCCCCCCAAAACAGCCCCGGGGGTCCCACAGGGATGACTCAAGGGGACATCAACCTCCCTGGGACATTCCAGGGCCCCCTCAAGGGATCACGGAGGGGGATCCCCCCTCAGCGCACGCCGGGAATCACCCCCAGCGGCACCCAGG